GTCTGGGCAACCGACTTTTGTAGGTTTCTCAGGTTCGCCTCATTCGACGAGTGTCACTCGCTCCTTGCAAGACCCCCGTTCTCGTGCTCCCACGAATTAGGTTCCACTGAGTCGAAGTTCTCGTGTCAATCCAGACGCCCCTTTTCGCCGAGTTCGGGCGTTTGGACATCCGACTCCTGTAGGCTCCTTAGGTTCGCCTCTTTTTCTTCGACGAGTGTCACTCGTTCCTTGGACCCTTGTTCTCGCTCGGGGGCCTGGGCAATCGACTTCTGTAGGTTTCTGTGGAGCACTGGATTCCGGGTTGTGCACGAAGGGCGTGTTCATGATCAGGTGGAACCAGGCTAGGAGAACATGGCATCGAATTGTTTTCACGGGCATCAAGCTCCAAGACGTGAAAGTAAGACTTGAAACTGTCTATACAAGTTACAGTTCGGAGAACACATCTACCCGCACAGTTGTACAAAGTTTGCAGGGATGATGCTCTCTAACTCAAGATCTATTCAAGCCAACATGCTTGACCGGAAACTGGAGTTTACTGGCCACTGAATTGCTCACATCATCACTCCTCCTTATCACTAGCCCGCGGCTCGTGACATCTCCTTCCAGCGAGCCAGCCATTCGGAGGCAGCCGTTCTCGTTGCCAGGTTGATCCACAAGATTTGGGTCCGCCCTGCCAACTGTAAGTGCCTCCAAATCCACAAGACGTAGCGAAGCTGGCGAGTCGTTGGTAGATGGACAGGTGGAGGCTCGTCACCAAGTTGGCCTCCCAGCCTTCTCACCAAATCACACTTCACGCCACTCACAGGAAGGCCTTCAGCGGCCAATCCATCACGTAAGTGTTGAACTGTCATCAGCCCTAACGTGTCTTGAACAACTCGCTCCCGATCGGATTGCCTGGACCGTGTTCGTGTTGGGGGCGATGAATGTCCTCTTTCCGGTAACGGTGGGGTCGCCGGCCGAAGTTCACCAAACGCACTCGTCCTTGAATCTCCCATGTTCATCGGGGCCCTGGGCCTCGTTGTGGTACTCGGGCTTCCCAAGCTCGATTCCGTAGTAGGACTTGGCAACGGGGAAGTGGTCCTCGGCCTTGCTGACGTGCTCGTTGCTGTAGGTGCCACCCTTTCTCGCACGGTTTGAAGCACCCGCTCACTTGACGGAACTTCATCCTCCTCGATCCACTTCTCGATCTCAGCTTCAGGCGCGATCCTTGCCAGTTCCTTCAGCTTGCGAATCCTCCTTGAGCGCTTGGATCCGCATACCTTCGGATAGGCCCACGAACTCAGTGCTTTCCCAGCTTCCCACAGAGCCACTGCCGAAATACAGGTAAGCATCAGCATAACAAACAGCTCTATAGTGCCTGTCACTGGAAGAGGATCCTTCGCAGCCGATACTGCCAAGGACTGAACAACCAATAGCAGTAAGAACCTGCATCCCATCTTCAAGCACTTCAGCACCTTCCCTTCGTCCAGACCCGCGAGACCAACTATGCCCCAGGTCCCAAGTAGGTGCAATAGACGCGCCTTGGAATGTAGCTTCGTCCGTAGATCAGCCGGCTGGTCCTCCCTAGCCAAGTGCTGGACAGTGAGTTCTCCACTGCTCACACGATCCAACACATAGGCGTGGCGAATGGGTAAATGCCTGGTACGCCAGCTTCCAGCTGACCCATTGAGCAAGTTGCTTGCCGCTTGGTTGTCGATATACAATGACGGAGTAGAAGTTGCCGGTAGCATTGCTTCTGTCGACTGTACCAACAAAGCGCAATTGGATCCCTCTAACAATTCGACCGACATGGACACAATCGGTTGCTTCCCCGCTTTCCACGTCACCGGGGTCTTACCGATCATTACTAGACTACAGCCGAAACTTTTACCCCCGTGTGGGGCATATGACGCATCGCTGTATCCAGACAGATCTACCTTGAACCCCGCATAGTGCCTGGCAACCTGAGTCTCAACTGTCTCTGCGGTAGCTGTTGTGGTTTTGGTCTCTGTGGTGGCTGTTGTGGTTTTGGTCTCTGTGGTGGCTGTTGTGGTCTTGGTCTCTGTGGTAGCTGCGGCTTCAGTCTCTGCGGTGGCTTCGACCTTCAGCTTCAAGCCTGCTGTGGCATTCAGATATGACATCACCTTGAGGCCGATCTGGTAAACCTTAACCGGTCGTTTGGTGGTCATCGCGGCCATGTAGTTCGTGACATAGAGGATGTCAGGCCGAGTTCGATAGGCCATCCATAGGCATTCTCCGGTGACCTTCTGGGCCATCACCAGCTCCGAGGAGTCGTAGTTTTCCTCCTCGAACGCCTGATCGTCATCTTGAATCCATTCTTTAGGACAGGGCAACCCAGCACCGACGTCCGTATCCAAACCGTGTAGGCGAACCAAGTTGGCAATGTAAGCTTCCTGGAACAAGGTGAAGATTTCCCCCTCCTGTTTGAGCTCCATCCCCAAATACCTCAAGCCAGTAGGTCAATGGTTGAGGAATTGGCCAAGTAGAGAAGGTCGTCCACGTTGGAGTTCCGTGACCTCGCCAGAACTCGACAAGATCATCCACAGCTCGTCGTCTGTCACCAACTGTTTCAGCCACAGTCGTCCATTCTTGTGGTCCACAGAGAGGGCTTGTAGAACTTCCGTACGGTGGGCTGCCCACAGTGCAGGACTTTCACGTAGACCACACAGGGCCCTCTTCACGACGAACACCTCGTCCTTGGAGACGAGTCCCGCCTGGATGAGGACCTTGGGTGGAAGCACCCCATATGTGGGTCGCCCTTTCGGCCACAACGCCTGTAAAAACGCTGCGCTCACGTCCGTCGTCGCAGCCAACCATCCACGTGCTGCTGCCAAAGCCAGGGCCAGTCGAAGCCCTTCCACACTGGCTCCAGCAGCAAAGAGCTCGCTTGCAGAATGTGTCTGCCCAGCCATATTGCCGCAGATAACAATCCGTGCCTTTCTCTTCCACCGGGGAACCTTGGCCTTCTCGTTGGAATCCTCAGAGGGCAGAGGTGGTTTCACGGTGAAGACCACCTTGCCAGGGATCAAGATCAGCTTGCCTTCCTTCTCCATCTGCCTCGCCACCTCCGTTGAGCACCGCTCAATGGCATCGGTCTTCTGCTCCAAATTGGCAAGCTCTCCTCCATTGGACCAATCCACTGACCCATGTGGTTCTTGACCTGGTGCAGTGGAACATCCAGCGTCACATCCAGGTCCTTCTTGAGGTTCGACAAGTACTCCTCAATGTCCCCAGCCTCCTTATCGTCATTGATGTTGGCCGCTTTGAGGTACAGGTCCTGGCACTTCTCCTCAATCTTCCGGATCTGTTCCTCCACATCCTTGATAAGGTCACGGACGGCACCATTAACGCCCTCGATCTCATCATTGATCGCCTCTCCAACCACTTGTAATTCTTCGGCAAGGATCTCCTCCTCAGCCAGGAACTCCTGCAACCATTCGCGTCTCTCCTTAAGACGAGTCAGCACATCATCTTGCAGCTGTCGTAGTTCTCGGCTAACATCTCTTGCTCGCTCGCGCTTTTCTTCCTCGACCTCATTAACCAAGAACATCACCGCCTCAGGCTCGTTCCTGGTATCGGTCATAGTCACCATCTTCAACACTGTCTGTTGTAGCTGATCTGGTACAAGTGGTGGTAGAGGAGGTGGGTTGAAGCCATACTCCCGGAGGGTCTCATAAGTGGCCCGTTTCATGCTCGTAGTCCTTGGGGTATACGCGGTGATCACCAGCCTCGTTCCCTTCCAGGGTTCCGTGGCATGATATCGCCTCGGATTGATTTCCACGGGGACATCAGGCCGGCTCTTTTCCATCCGCCCCTCGGAAGTTCTCGCCATTCATTCGTCGTCGTAGTTGTAGTTCTCGGGCGAGGACTCAATCCACACCCCTCCTCCTTCATCGCATTGTTGTAAAGGAAGTAGCCAGTTGCTGCGGGCACCGTTGTTGTGAACATCGCGGTGGCATTTCATACCACGTTCTCGGTGATGAGCAAAGCCGTAAAATCCTCCTTCCCAAGGCCCGTACCAGACAGGAGGTGGCAACCGGGTGGCGGTTCGTGTCATTCACAATCCCACATTGGCTCCCATAAGTGTACTGGCCAACCAGCCATTGCAGGCCTTCCCCTTGGGTAGTCCTTGAAGTCGGTCTGGCCTTGGTCTTCAGTAGTTTCCACAACTCAACGACATGCTGTAGCTCAAACTGGTTGTTGTCGAAGAACGACTTTGCGAGGTTGTCGATATCGTTGTCGGGGTCAGCAAGGGCCTTGGCTAACGTGGTCTTCCCTTTTGTTCTACGTTCTGGTAGTGGAAGTTCGATCTCATGTGGTCCGAGCTGCACCAGGTCGTCTGGGTCAGTAGGGCTTGATGTGGACCGATGTGGTGTAGGTCCCATCGCTGTGACGTACGACTCGGCCACCCTTAACATCATTGGAGCATCCGACGAACAGGCCCTCCTTCCATCGCTCCAGTAAATCATAGCGTCCACCTTCCCCAAAACGCTTGTACTTCACATGGGTCTGAGCACCAAACGCAAGATCCTTGTCTTCATTGTTTCCCAATGCTAAATCCCTCTGTCGCCTCGCAGCGAAATCCGCTGCCACCGGCCAACATGTAGAGGAAGACTCGCAGCTCTGAGGAGAACCTTCGCGCGGCGTTTGATCTCCCGAACCAGGGCTTCAGCTCGACCATTTTGCTGCGGTTGCTGGCTCTCGCCTGTGGTGGCGAGGATGTCTCGGTCTGCCATCCAGCTCCGGGTTTCCTTAGCCTTGAGCTCCAAACCACGGTCTGAGTGGACTCGAACAAGAGGTAGTCCACGTTGGCGAAGTTGAAGGTAGATCTGCTGGATCTTCGCTCGGACCTCCTTGGAAGTTCGGGAAGTCATCGGTGCTGCAAAGTGAAGCGTCTGGCGCTCAATGTCATCGCCAATGTCCTTGTAGAGCATTCGTGCCGAGGCACGAGGTACGACAGTGTATGCTAGCGCCACACTTCCCCTAGGAGATATCGAAGGTATCTCGGCTAGAACAACATCGAAGATGTTTCGCTAGGAAACAATGCAAGTGTTTCCGCTAACTGGGGTTCACATGGCCGAAACGTACATGCTATGTCCGTGGCCATTGTGCTAAAGAGCCCCCTAGAGGGGGGCAAATTTGAAGTGCCCACCCATCC